CAAACCTCGACAAGCTTAACAATATAAACAGACCAATACCTCAATTTATCTACTCTATCGAGCTATTTAGGTAGAATCGATTTTAGGATTCACTCTCTCGAGCTGAACCCACAACAACCCAATAACTACAATCATCAATCGAAAACCTTAGTTCTAAACCTCTTTCTCAAGTAATCCTAAAACACTAAGTTAGAATTGCAGTTGCAACTACAATTCATAGATTAATACACAGCTGTTGATTAAACCCACTTCAAATCAACATTTAAATCAGTAAACAACAATACCCCCAAGCTAATTAAAGCAAATAATCACATTATCATACCCCACGAATTGGGGTTTTAGCCACACTTCATAAAAAGGAAGGAACAATTACCAAGTAAGTTATACATGATCTGGGTAATGGTTTCCAAATCTCTAGAATGCTTCAAATCAACTTAATTCAAAAACCCAATTGAAAATTCCTTAAAACCAAGTCTCAGAAGATCTAAGTTCTGCAATGGAAAACTCTGAAAAAACTTGATTCAAGACTAGATAGGACTCTCTCATTTTCTGCTTTTCAAATTTCGATATATAGTTTCCCTAATTTTGGCCTTTAGGACCATTAGGTGAAGTAGGTCGAGCATCGCTGACCATGACGGTGATGCGCCCATTGCTCCATTCCATCGCCGGTTTGCCTTGGGTTTTTATCCTTAGGGTTCTGTGACTTAAGGCGATCAAGATCGAGGTCATTGATCCGTTCGGTGGTACGCCGACTGTCCATTTCCATCACAAAGTATGTTCTTCCCTAGGGCTAGCATGCTGGAACTTTTGGCGAGCTAATGAGCCACTCGATGGCTCGCCAAGTGTTCTTGGCGATCACCAGGATTACCTTTCTTCAACTTCTTCTGCTTTTTCCCTCCTTTTTGTCTGGTATTGTCCTTGCCTTGCTCCTTAGCCTTGATTTCTGTAAATCAACACTTAGACATAATTTTAGATCATAAATTAAGTATTGAGGACAACAAAACTATGAAAACAAAGCCCTGAATGAATCAAAATCTCAGACTCATCAACAAGACGAGTGTACCATAGATACATTGGAAGATATGTTGAGAGCTTGTGTGATTTATTTCAATGGTAATTGGGATGATCACTTGCCTTTGATTGAGTTTGCTTTTAATAATGACCATCATTCTAGCATTGAGATACCACCGTTTGAAGTTTTTATGGTAGGAGGTGTAGGTCTCCTATCAGTTGGTTTTAGGTTGGTAAGGTTTCTTTAATAGGGCTCGAGTTGGTACATGAGGATATGGAAAAGGTTTGACTTATTTGTGAGAAGTTGAAAACTACTCAAATTTAAAAGTCTTATTTTGATGTTAGAAGAAAAGAACTAGAATTTAATGTTGATGATCGGGTCTACTTGAAAATTTCACCCATGAAAGGTGTCATAAGGTATGGAAACAAAGGGAAACATAGTCCCTGGTATGTGGTCCGATATTAGATTTTGAGGTATATTGTCAAAGTTGCTTATGAACTTGAGTTTCCTAATGATTTAACATTGATACATATGGTATTGCATGACTCTTTGTTGAAGAAGTTTGTTGGAGATCTGACATTTATTGTTCCTTTAGAGGGTTTGGAAGTTAAGGAGAATCTTTCCTATGAAGAGGTTCTGATGGAGATTTTAGACCGGCAAGTTCGGAAGTTAAGAAACTAAAAAGTTTCTTCCGTAAAGGTTCTTTGAAGGAATCAATTAGTTGAGGGTGCTACTTGGAAGGCCAAAGCTGATATGATGTCCCAGCATCCTCATCTCTTTCCCTCCGCTCTTACTCTAGCTTGAGATATTAACTCATTATGGTTCATTCTTTCAAAGTTATGTGTTTTGGTCATTCTCATGTTTCCATATGAATGAAAGTTCATGAAAACTTGATTTTATATCTTATTATTTATCTTGGAGTGATTCTCCATGTTTTATGTGCATTTTGATGAAAAAATGTATTCATGTTGCATTGTTAGTTTCTCTCCTACTCTATTCATGCTAGCTTTAGTCTCATTCGAGGACGAATGTTCCCAAGGGGAGATATTGTAGTACCTTGAGGTTGGAAATTCTAAAGAAAAAGGAAAACACTAATTTTTAGGTACTGAAAAGGTTTTTCTAGTCCAACCTACAGACCGTAGGAAGTCCTATAGGCAGTAGGCAGTCCTACAGGCCGTACGAAGGAACTCTTAGACCCAAAATTATGTGTTGGAAAATTGAGTTTCTAAAGATTAGACCTACGACTTGAAAGGACGAACGGCAGAAAGTTTGATTGGTCGTAGGACTGACTTGTAGAATAGATCAGAGATTTTATATAGGACCTTAGGTCTATGGATGGTTTTGACGAGTCATAGTTGGTTTTACTGACCATAGGAAGGTCCTATAGAAAGGTCCCAGACATAGTGAAATTTTGGACTAAAAGTTTAGTTCTACGGATGGGGTCTACAGACCATAGGAATTTGGATGAACCGTAGAATGGTCTCGTGGGAAATGATAGAATATTTTTTATTCTGAAGTTTGTTCTACGGTTGACCAGGGTGGGCCATAGAAATTACTACGGACCGTATGTTACAACCGTAGGGCTATTCGACTCTTATTTTGAAAGGGTATTTGGGTATTTTTGTATCCATTTAGTGCCTATACTACTTCATTTTGACCCTAATTCTAATACCTATAACTACCCATCTATTCCTAAATTTTCCCCAACTCACTCATTCAATCAAATTTCCAAATTCTCTCCTAGGTTTTCTAAAAACTTCCCTCTTTACATCAAGGAAAAATAAGTTAGGGTTCTTCAAGTTCAAGTCTCCTCTCTTCATCAATTTCTTGTGGACATTGATATAAGGTTTGTAGGGAACTCATTAATGGGTTCCATTCACCCATTGAGTTCCCAAAGATTCTTCAATTCTCCCTTTCTATTTCAATTTAACTGGCTAGATTTTCATTCAATTTCTCAAGGGTTTTATTCGTATTCAATTGTTTGGTTATGATCATATTATAGTTATTTAGATTCAATTACATGTTTTCCAATCAATTCCATATGAACCCATGCATCGATCATGATTTTTACTATGAACTCTAATTTGAATGAATTTGAAGTAAAGCTATGAATCAATTAATGATGTCTTCAGGAACTTATGCATGATTTACGAAAAGGAATGATTAGTAATCTAGGTTGCTTTAAGATAATCATCAATGAATTGTGGAAGGTTTTCTCACATACTTACGGGATTATGACTTGGTGGAAGGTTTTCTCACTTAGACTTGATTTAAGATATAATGAGATACTGTATGATGTTTAAGCTTGGATTAGTATTTCAATTATGATTTTCCATGGATGATGATCATATTATATATGTGACTATTCTTGTGGTATTTAACATAGGATAGAGAGAACATTGAGGTGGAGGCTCAGATAAAGTAGTCTCTAGTAGCAACCTCTAGTTCCAAATTATGTGCCCCAGTAGGTTTGGCTTAAATTACCTATCTAGTGGATCGGCATATAGCATATGATATGATACAAAGTTCTTCCTTGGCAAGTAGACTCTCCCTTATCGGTGTGGAGTTAAATTGGATTCCATGTTATATATTGCATGGTCTATTTTCAGTTAAAGGTAATATCTCACAAAATGAACTAAGTTACTTAAAAATGTTTTTTGAAACTTTTCTTATGTTTCAAGATGCATTGACCATGTTCATGATTTACGATTCTTCTCAAATTATTTTACTATGCTTTAGCTGGTCATGCAATCATGTTTTTTATTATGTCCCCTTAGATCAGGTTTCATGTTTTATTGAATTCCCCTTATACTTAGTACATTTCATGTAATAATACATAGTTGTGACTATATTGTTTCACTAATGTAGGAATTGGCGATTCTTCTCCCTCCATTCATAGCTAGTTGATCATCTTAAGGATTTGAAGACTTGGTGAGTCCTCATACTTCAAGGACAATATTGCCTTTATTACCTACTTATGTCTTTATGTTTTGGATATTGTACTTTGTGTATAGGTTACGTCCCCACCACTTCTTTTTTTATGTAATAGATGGCTTGTCTAGACTTTGATGTACTTCCAGTTTTATGTCAGACTCTTTACTTCTGATGAGATTTCTTGTTTTTCTCTATAATGTTGAATATATGTATGTCAAGTGTCTTGTGTAGGGACTTTTAGGGTCATATACGCGATGTCCCTTCTAGGGTGTACTTTGGGTCATGACATGGGCAACCCTAAACTTGTCCATGCTCAGAGTATTCTAGTTGTGCTAGGTTCTTTTGTCATGCTTATGGGACTTGTTGAAGGTTTTAGAATCAATGGACTTCTAGGAGTAGGAGAAGGCAACGACTCATACCTCAGGAGCCAATATTTTGACCCACTTGTCCTTGGTGATGACCCTATCACATTTGCTGAGCTCAAGGTGCAATAGACCAAGAACGAAAGACTGGCTATGTTCTCTATGTTTAGATTCTACGTTCAAGCTATTGTTACTGGGAAAGGCCCTCTTGAGAACCTATTGTATCACCTTGACAAGCCTATTGTTAATAATGCTTGGGTTTACGCCACTAAGTTTGTTCCTGAATCTTCATATGATTTATGTTTCAATTCTTTGAAAGTACTACTTTTGTGTAAGTGAAATCTTAGAAATGAAAATATGTTGTAGATGAAAATCATTTCGAGTGTAGTTGTTTTTTTTCATGAAAGTAACCTTTTGAACAATCAACTTGTTTATACGGAGTTAGAGATGTTGCTTTCGATAATAAAGCATTTCAAAAGAGTAATAAAAAAGATAGCAAAAATGAAAGCAGTAACAATAACAAACTACTTAGAATAGAAAAATTGGATACCAAGACTAACATCAATTTTGTCTCCTCAATTTCTTTTTTTGAACACATTCAAATCCATTGTACATTCAATTTTTCTGTTCTTTATATTATCAAACATAATTGAAAATCATCCAATAGAAAAATCAATACAAAACCAACACATCTCTAAGAGCTAGTGAATTTGGCAACCGCCTTAGTACCCTCAGATACAACATGCTTGGCCAATTCACTATGGAGAACCAAACGGACAGCAGTTTGAATCTCCCGAGAAGTGATGGTAGGCTTCTTGTTGTACCTAGCAAGCTTAGTAAACTCCTCAGCAAGCCTCTCAAAGATATCATTGATGAAGTTGTTCATGATTCCCATAGCCTTGCTTGAAATCTCTATATCTGGATGAACCTGTTTCAGCACCTTGAAGATGTAGATCTTATAAGTTTCGGCAGAATTCATTGACCTCTTATTCTTCTTGTCTCCACTGGCATCCTTAGGAAGCTTCTTGCCAGCCTTTGATTTCTTAGCGGCGGTGGCAGGAGCCTTCTCAGCTGATGACTTCTTCTCTGCATTTTGTGCCATTGAAGGGAAGAATTCAGAAATTGGGGGGGATTTTGGAGTTTGAATTGTGTGAAGTGAAAGAGATGCAGAGGTTTATTATATAGGAATTTGGGGCTACATATTCATTGGTTAGTTTTGTATGACGCGGATACTGAATTTGAACTGTTAGATATTATAGTCAATCATCGGTGTAGAAGGAAAGTGAATTAAATTAAAGTAGATCTCTTTCCTAGTCAATATGAAACATTGATTTAAAACAAGGATTATAATTTCATATGGGATAAATAATAAATTTTTAAGATTTTGGTTTATAATTTATCCTAATATCAGCTAATATCAATTAAATATGGAATAAATATAATTTCAAATTTGATAGTGAAATAAATAAATATTTATTAAGGGTATTTTTGTATTTAAAAGTTGTCCAACTCTTACTTTTTTTAAATACTTATTTTTTGACACGTGCGTGCACGTGATTACTAATTCACAAAATATATGTTGTAGTATATAGTATTGCTTATTTAGGTGAAGATTTGAATACTAAGCTTAGCACAAAATAATATTGCAGATTCTTTTGTTAATGTTCATTGTGTATCGTCATATATATATATCATATTCACACAAACTGAAGAAGATCGTCAATGAGAAATTTTATTAGTTAAATGCAATAAATTATATATTTATTTCAATTTGATGAAGTTCAATCGTGTAATTAGTCATAACTCACTAATATTACCTTATAGACGATATTTGTTGTGTATTTTTCTTGTCATCTAACCAAATGTTTGCACGTGTATTCCACGTTAAACTCTTTAGATGTCATATGAAAATGTGAAGAGAACAACTAAATTTTATAAGTTATCACATAATAGACGATGTTCTTGTTTTTGGCTCTCATACTTTACTTCTTGATTGACTGTGTACATAAATAAAAGAAAGTTATCTGGCTGTCCATAGTTAATTGAGAAATGTTTTCTTTTTTTTTTACCAGAAAAAACTAAAGATTAAAATTAAAGAATATATTTTATGTGTGAATTCATACATATAACTATATGTTCATCTTACACCCAAAAAAGATATAATTCATATACTCGTAAATTATTTCAATTTATTCAACCAAGTATGATTCGTCAAAGGAAAAATTACAACACCATGTTATCACATATATATGGGCGGTGTAATAATATGAAAAATTATTGGTCAAAAGGTAATATAATGATAGATGAAAGATAGAAATTAATGTAACAACTATGAAATTCATAATGTTATACCTTAGAACGTAAAAGATTAATGTGCAATAGCTTAATTTCTATTAAATTTTATACATAAATAAATAAATAGGACTTTTAATTAATGTTACTATTTTTGTAGTTATTAGATTTTAATTTAGTGTAGGGGAAAAATGTAAATGTTTATTCCATATTACTGAATATAAAATTTATTTTGTAATTGATAAATTTTAAATGATTCATATATATTCACATATTTTCACATTTGTTGTGAGTGTTTTTAAAAAAAATAAAAAATAACTTGGAACATTTTTAAATAATTTATTTTAAACTTAGAAGATCTTGTTAACTTGATAATACATTTGTGACATATATAATTACCTAACCAAA